GCCCCGCTCCCCCCTCGCCTGAGTTAGAACCGGCCTATATACCCTACTCGCGCCAACTCTCGAAATGAGGCGAGAGGAACTTCGGCGCTTTGGGGCCGCATGCCCACGCTAGCGCTGTCGCATCCTTTGTTTTCAAACATTCCGCCCGCCTCGTTGGATCGCGATCGACGAAATGACAGCACCGATTCGAGGTTAGGGCACGCTCGTGACGCCGCGATCCATCGATCGGGATAGCTTTAGCGCGAGTCAATCGCGCGTAGTTCAAGGCGGCGGAGACTCGGCGAGCAGCCCCAACGCAGAGGCGATGTCGGACGCGATGATACCTATAACAGGACGGACACGAGATAAGTATATACAATATTTACAGGTTAGATGCAGGTTATCGGTAACGCTAAGTGAAGTGGCGACTTCCTTGCAGGCTCACGCTTACGGTCCCTGAGGCGCGGTGTCGGCAGGCGGCAGAGGCACGATTTTGACCACCGGTCGGGTTAGCCGGCCGGTAGCCGTCCGAACGTCTACCACTCGCACCTGGTTGTCCTCTCCAGCGTACAGCCGTACGATGCGGGCAAGGGGCCAGCGGCATGGTGGTATCAGCTCATTCTTTAGAAGGCACAGTTGTCCCTCCTTCAGGCCGCCGCTAGTGGTCCACCATTTCGGCCGTGGCGTGAGAGCCTGCAAATGTTCGCGGGACCACCGTTGCCACAGGTGATCCCGCATCTGCTGCAACAGCCGCCAATTGCTCAGCCGGTTCGGTGGCACGTCGAGGAGCGCCGGTTCCGGTATGGCGTTGAGCGGCTCACCGATCAGGAAGTGTCCGGGAGTTAGTGCGCTAAGGTCCTCGGGGTCGTCCGTCAAGGTTTGAAGCGGGTGCGAGTTGAGGCCATGCCTCGACCTCCGCAAGGAAGGTGGCCATCTCCTCGTAGGTGAGCTTCGTCTCGCCTATGACACGCCGCAGGGGTGGTGTTTCACGGATTTGACGGCCGCCTCCCACAACCCGCCAAAGTGCGGCGCAGCCGGGGGATTAAATTGCCACCGGATACCATAGTCGGCTAGGCGCCCGATAATCCGATGAGTCTCGCGGCCGGCCTCCCGGAACATGGCTCGCAGCTGCGAGTCGGCCCCGACAAAGTTGATCCCGCAGTCGCTGTACACCGACTGGCAGGCTCCCCGGCGAGATATGAATCGCCGAAAGGCGGCGAGGAACGCGTCGGCCGTATAATCGCTGACTGCTTCTAAGTGAACGGCCCGTGTGGTGAAACAAACAAAAACTGCCAGGAAAGCCTTGTAGGCTTTGTGTCCTCGGCCCTTGGACGTCCGCCATAGAATCGGACCGGCGAAATCTACGCCGGTGTGCAAAAACGGCCGGCTAGGGTTGACCCGAGCGCCAGGTAGGTTGCCCATCAACGGTTGTGGGGATGCCGCCCGCCATCGGACGCATGTAGTACACCGATGGATATGGACCAGCTGACGACCTCGAGGCACCCAATAACGTTGTCGGATGGCAGCCAGCGTGGCCTGCGTTCCGCCGTGGAGGGTGCGGCTGTGATTGAGGTCGATGACAAGGTGAGTCAGGTGCGAGTGTGTCAGGGGCGGCAGTATGACCGGATGTCGTTGATCCTGATCCAATAACGCGTGCTTGATTCTTCCTCCGACTCGTAGGATTCCCTTATCATCGAGAAAGGGCGTGAGTTTACGGAGCGGCCCTGACACCGGGCGGCCAGCTCGGACAGCCCCCAACTCCCGCAGGAAAGTTGTCGCCTGCACTACGTGTATCCATCGGGTAAGCGCCGCGTCGATTTCGTCCGGGCTCAAGGTTGGCGGCAGGTCCCTCGCCAGTCCATCGCAGTCGACGGCCCTACGGCGTGACCACCAACGCCAGACCCAGGCTGAGACGCGCAGCAGACGACGAAGCGACGAGAACCTCGTCAACTCCTCGGGTTCCTCCACCTCGGCGACTACGAGGCACCGGACGGTGCGTTGCTCGGGCAGTTCGGGTTGCTCCGGCAAGCTAGGATCCTTCGGCCATGAGGTTGGATCCCCCCTGAGAAAGCCCGGCCCCTGCCACCACAGGGGGTGCACCGACAGCTCTCGCGGTGAGATCCCTCGAGATGCACAGTCCGCCGGATTGTCTGCCCCCGGCACGTGCCTCCACATCGCGTCCCTGGTTAACCGCTGGATCTCCGCCACCCTGTTTGCCACGTAGGTCGTCCACTTGGCAGGATGGCCACGAATCCAGGCCAACGTGACGGTGGAGTCCGTCCACAAGAACGTGGGGACCGCGTTCCACTCGAGCGACGTCTGTAGGTGCCCGATCAGCTTCGCCAACAGGGACGCAGCGCAGAGCTCCAGCCGTGGCAAGGAGACCCGCTTGAGAGGAGCGACTTTTGTCTTTGCCATCACGAGCGAGATGTAGGCTTCGCCGGCGTTAACGACGCGCAAGTAGACGGCCGCGCAGGCTCGTTCGGAGGCATCCGAGAAGCCGTGGATCTCGATGGTGTCGACAGAGGCATTGCAATGGAACCAACGCGGAATCTTAATTTCCTCCAGGATCGGGAGTTCCCCCTCCAGTCTGGCCCAAGCGGCAGCCTCCTCCGTGGCCAGGGGGGCATCCCAGTCCAGCTGTTGCAGCCACGTAGTCTGGATGAGGAGCTTCGCCCTGACGACGATCGGTGCCAGCCAACCTAGAGGGTCAAAAAGCCGCGCTGTCTGGGACAGAATCGTGCGCTTTGTTGGAGCGGCGCTGTCCGATCGCCGGACCGTCAAGGACAAGTGATCGTCCTCTGGGCTCCAGCGCAAGCCCAGCACCGAGTGTTCCGCTGACGGTAGCAACGCGTCCGTCGAACGCAGCAGCTGATGAGCCGAGGGGACGTCCGCAAGGAGTGAAGCACGATTCGCGGCCCACTTCCTCAGTGGGAAGCCGCCCGCCGTGCATAGCATAGATACCTGATGCCTGAGTTGCTGACAGGTCTCCAGAGTGGCGGCTCCACCGAGGATGTCATCCATGTAAACGTCCCGCTTAAGTACCTCCGCGCCCAGCGGGAAGCGGTTCGACTCGTCGCTCGCAAGCTGGCGCAATACGCGGAGGGCGAGGTAAGGTGCGCTTGCCAGGCCGTAGGTAACTGTATTCAGGCAATAGTTAGTCACTTGCTTGCCTTCTGTCCATAGGATCCGCTGCAGGTACCGGTCGTCTGGATGCACTACGATCTGCCGGTACATCTTCTCGATGTCGGCTACGAAGACGTATTGGTGACGTCTCCAGCGGGTCACGACATCCGCGAGAGACGGAAGTAGGTTGGGCTCCGTGTGCAGGCAGTCATTCAAGGAGGCTCCCGTCGCGGCTCGGGACGATCCATTGAATACGACTCGAATCTTCGCGTCGGTGCCCAAGCCTTTCATCACGCCGTGGTGCGGCAGGTAACACGAGCGGGTGTCAGAGGCCACTGACAGCGACGCGCTCGGTGACATGTGGCCCAAGCTCAGATACTCGGCCATGAAATTCTGATAGCGATCGCGGAAGGCGGGATCGCGTCCAAACCTTCGCTGCATAACGTCGAGCATGTGAGACGCAGCACGACGCGTGGTGGAAAGATCCGGTAGCTCCCGGCGTAAAGGCAGCCGGACCTGAAAGCGACCGTCTGCCAGGCGTTGATGCGTCTGTGCGAAGTGGTTCTCGCACGCTTGCTCGTCGGTGGATAGCGGTACGTCAGCGCTCGGCGCTTCCTCCCACTCCCAGAAGCGGCGGACGAGACTAGGCAGGTCGTCGGCCACGGAGCACTGCAGGGAGGTGACCACGGAGGCGGCGTGCTTGGGTCCCACGGCTCCCAACAAGATCCAGCCGAGGTGCGTCCGCTGAGCGACGGGCTCTGAGGGCCCTCCCCGGCGGAGTTCAGGAAGTATTATGCTGGCGTACGCCTCAGCTCCGAGCAGGAGTTCCACCGGATCTTGGCCTGTGAAATCGGGGTCCGCAAGTTCGAGTCCGGCAGCGTGAGCCCACGACCTAACCCCGGTCCCCTCTGGGCCGTTGTATACGGACAGTTGAGGCAGTATCAGCGGGGACATCGCGAGTGCAAAGTTGCCTGAACGCGCAGTGACCGTCACTGTGACACGGCCCCGCGACCAACCCGTTTGAGTGCCGCCGACTCCGAAAATGGCCACGGCGGACGGCGTACGCGGTACGCGGAGTCGCTGGGCCAAAGACTCGGTGATCAGCGACGTCTCGGACCCCGGGTCGACTAACGCGCGAGCGGCATGATGGGCACCGTCTCGACCGACTACCAGGACGCGAGCGGTCGCGAGCAGCACCGGACCGTGGCTCGTGGACGAGTGTTTAGCGGAGTGTACAGTCGTCGATGCGGAGGGCAAGGCGGCCGACAAGGGCGCGACCGCGAACGCGTCGTGCAGGGACGAGTGATGGCGATCCGAGCATTTATTACATGTTTTGTTTGATGAACACGAACCAACGAGGTGGCGACCGAGACAGTTCAGGCATCGTTGGTGTTTATTTACCGTATCCCGACGTTCTTGGGCCGACTTTGCCTTATATTGTTCGCAATACGCAATATAGTGTTCCTTTTTGCAGAGTGGGCAGTTATGGCCCGATTCCAACCCTCGACTCCGCGCGTGAAGGGCACGGGCGGTGCGAGCGGGCTTTCCTGACGTTGAGTCGACCTTAACGACTTGCAGCACCTCCTGCGTCATGAGCTGCTCCTGGAGAAAGTCGCGAAGCTCGTCGTATGATGGCGGCTCCGAGGATTTGCTGAGCGAGCCCTCCCACTCGCGCCGGGTTTTGGGGTCGAGCAGTTCGACCACCATGTGTACGAACAGGTCAGCTCCGCTGGAGATTGGGCGACCGATACCCTCTAAGGCCCCGACGGTGGAGACCACCCCGTGAAAGATGCGGCGCAGGTCCGTGGCGCAGTCCGATTTCATCTTTGGTAAGGCCGAAAACGCTGAAAGGTAAGACCTCACCAAGAGCCTTTTATTCTCGAAGTGCTCGGTTAAGGTGCTCCACGCACGTTCGAAATTTCCCTCTGTCGAAGGTAGGTTGCGAATAAGCTGGTCAGCATCTCCCTTCACACTCGTCTTAAGGTAATGCAGTTTTTCTACCTTAGAGAGCGCAGTCTCCTTGACGACTGTGGGCTTAAGTAATGTTCAGAAGCCCCGGCGGAAGTGCCACAGAACTTCCTTGCCGGTAGCTGGTATAGGCTAAGACGGCAATGAGAAACTCTCACGTATATAAGTATCAGAAACTTTATTACGTATCGAACTCGCACGTCGAGATGGCCGATCTCGATCGTGCATGAGGCGAGGAACGACTGTTACAATCTCTGTCCCGCTCGGACAGCGCCATCAACGACTATAAGTATGTCGCAGTATAGATGGGCGACTCGAGTCGCCACACACTCCCCCCCGAGTGCTAACGCTGGAGAGAAATTACAAAAATATATTTTTGATGACACTGGGTGTCTATTACAGGCAATTGGCGCTGCCGAATATTACATGAATGTTGTAGGACTAGTGTGTATCACAGGGAATAATACTGCATTAAGAGATGTAATTACAATACCGCTACTTAAAGATTAACACATACGCAGGATGTATTGCAAAACTTACAGTTAGTATCGCTGCTTAGAACTAAGGGAATATGTATACGCAGGATGTACATTGTGCTGACTGTGAAATGTTGTAACGTAGGGTAAATGTTATACCGCTGCTTACAGCTAACGCATGCGCAGGATGTATAAAACTTAATTAGTACCGCTGCTTAAAGACTAACGCATACGCAGAATGTACAAACTTATATCTAGTACCGCTGCTTAAAGACTAACGCATACGCAGGATGTACACGACATGACGAAAATGCGCGACCGCGTCCAAGTTGAGAATTGATACATCGCGAATGGAACGACGGAAAATCTGCTTTTACGCGCAATGAGATGACCACTTGTACCTTCCCGAGTCAAGACCTGACTAGCGAGGGGATGTACGTACCGTATTTTTATCCAGCCTAATTTGTACTTTTTTCTTAGGACCGGAATACGTTTTTAAAGTATCGGACGAAGCGCTTGTCGAAGTGAAAGGCTTGTCCGTCGCTTCGGATGTAGACGAATCGTTAGTTATTGAGACGTCGTCCGGTATAAAATGATGGCTTGAGCCGCTCTACTGATACGGCTGTGGATCTGCCGCTTATTTCAATGTTGTAGACCTTATCCGACGTCCTTTCGAGTACCTTGAATGGGCCCGAATAAGGCCGCTCTAATGGTTTCTTAACCGCGTCCTTACGGAGGAAGACGTGCGAACACTTCGACAATTCCTTAAACTGGAAAACGCGCTTTTTATAATGGTGTGCCACGGGTACCGGCTTCACCTGACGCATGTGCTGTCGAAAGTCGTCTACACAAATTTGAGGTTCCGGTGAAAAATCCTCTTGGAGGAAAAATTCTCCCGGAATCCGTAATACCGTACCGTACAGGAATTCGGCCGGCGAGGCTTTGTGTCCATCCGTAAATGGGTGCGTAACCCGAGTAATACAGTGGGGAGGACATCCACCCAGTTCGGCGTGTTATGGCACATAATTGCCGCCTTGAAGGTGCGGTGCCAACGCTCAATCATGCCATTAGCGGCAGGGTGATAAGCCGTGGTACGGATGCGTTTGCAACCGATTAATTTAAGAAGGGCTGAGAAAAGCTGTGCTTCAAATTGTTGACCTTGATCGGTCGTAAGAATGTTAGGTGCACCGAAACGAGCGATCCAATTATCGAAGAACGCCTTGGCTACTATTCTTGCAGTGATATCGGGGATTGGGATCGCTTCTGGCCAGCGGGAAAATCGGTCGATGATTGTTAAACAATACATAAAGCCATTGCTCGGCTGCAAGGGACCGACTATGTCCATATGGACGTGGTCGAAACGCCCGTCGGGAACCGAAAACTGAGCCGGCTCAAGTTTGACGTGACGAGAGGTTTTGCACTGCTGGCAATCGACGCAGTTACCCGCCCAAGTCGCGACGTCGCGATGCAGGTTCGGCCAGATGTACCGCTGTCGTATGACGCGGTCTGTTACTTTCGCGTTCGGATGCGCGGGGTTATGGAAGAGGTCGAAGACCTGTCTCCTGAGAGATGCTGGAATGTAGGGTCTGATTGATTCGCCTGACAATTCACAGTATAGCTCTGTGTTGGAAGAACCCCAAATGAATTTTTTTAATTTAAGCGAGGACGAGTTCGAGGTCAAAAGATGCTTAAGTTCTTCGTCCTCTTTTTGCCTAGCGGCGAGGTCTACTAATTCGAATTCGACCGGGAGGCAGAGAGCCTCGATACGAGATAAATTATCGGCCACCACGTTTTCTGAACCGGCGAGATGTTCTAACGCGGTGGTGAACTGCGCTATGTACGAGAGCTGACGTAACTGCCTCGAAGAGGCTTTATCTGACCTTTGCCGAAATGCATAAACCAGAGGTTTGTGGTCCGTTACTATTTTGAAATTACGATCTTCGAGGAAGTGTCGAAAAAACTTTATTGCTTCATAAATCGCGGTTAATTCGCGATCGTACGCGCTATAATTCCTCTGCGCCGGAGTGAACTTCCTAGAGAAGAAAGCTAATGGTTTCCATCCGTCAGAGGTATACTGCTCAAGGGCCCCACCCATAGAAAAGTCCGAAGCATCTGACACGACGCGAGTGTCGGCAGAATTGGACGGGTGTGCAAGTAACGCGGCATTAGCAAGGTCGGCTTTGGCCTTGTCGAACGCGGTTTCGGCCTCCTGAGTCCACGGTATCTCGCGTTT